TCCTCCGGCTCTTAGCCGACGTTGGATAGTGCTTTGACTGATAGAAATCCCAGAAAAAGATGTTACTTGTTTACGAATATTCGAAGCCGTCGCGCGCTGATCGCCCATCGAAGACCTAAGAATTAGAAAGTCGACTCTTGGTGTTGTCCTTCGTGGTCTTCCGGAGCGAGACTTCCTCATTACAAATCCTCGGCTTAGGTGACGCTTGAAAATCTTAGAAATTGTGCTTTTGGCGAGATTATATTTTTGGGAAAGCACAATCATCTTCGTTCCGGAACGAATGGCTTCAANTTCCTTTGACTGGAGGAAGTCGGCCACGAGACGGGAAGTATGCTTCGTTTCATTATCGCGCTCAAAAATCCACCGTGTCGGCAGGTTTTGGTTGGCGAACGGGAGCATTACATTATCCACGATGTCCTTGAACTGAGCCGAGTTCATATTACCCTGGATACGAACGAGTGGACCAACGCCGGATAGACTGAAACATCCCCATAACATAACGGTCCCTCCACCGTGGTTGACCGTCGGAATTATATACTTCGAATCACATCGCTCATCCACGGGACGTCTTACATACATTATGCCATCACTCCCGAAAAGACAAAACTTCGGCTCGTCGCTGAATAAAAATTTTTTTTCCAGTCATCTCCATTCCAGGCGAGGTGCTTGCGCGCAAAGTCAAGTCGGGCCTTCCGGTTCTTTGCGGTGACCAGTGGTTTTTTGCTAGGACGCCTTCCAAAGAGTCCTCCGGCTCTGAGCCGACGTTGGACAGTGCTTTGGCTGATAGAAATCCCAGAAAAAGATGTTACTTGTTTACGAATATCCGAAGCCGTCGCGCGCGGATCGCCCATCGAACTCCTAAGAATTAAAGAGTTGACTCTTGGTGTTGTCCTTCGTGGTCTTCCGGAGCGAGACTTCCTCATCGCAAATCGTTGGCTTCGATAACGCTTGAAAACCTTGGAAATTGTGCTTTTAGCGGGGAAAGCACATTCATCTTCGTTCCGGAACGAATGGCTTCAATAATTGCTTCCTAGACGGATACTGGAACTTCTTTACCTGATCCCATCTGAAAACCGCCCAATATACCATGCTTCGATCAAACATTACGAAAAATCCACCAACCTGGACAAGAAAAAGCAAAAACGATATGGCAGGTAGCGAGTTTCCAAATTTCTGACGCGCTGTTCTTCGAACTTTTCTTATTTTAGAAATCAGACTCTTGTTTTTCGTCAAAACACATTGCATTCCATTTTTCCCACATGATTTTACATCTAATATGTAACTTTGGGATAATTACGATCTCAACTGGCCTAGCTATTCGAGAAATTAGAAAGTTTCTAAACTTTTGACCACTACTGTATATCATGTTGTCGGAAAAGTCTTTGCACATTTTGTGTTTTTTTTTTTCAAGTTTGTTTTCTTTCTTCATCACAAATAACAATTCACAAACACAGGGTGCGCCATAAATTTGGTAACAAAATGGTTGTTGTGCAGAAATCGGAATTCATATCGGTAACCAAAGTGTTTAATGACCCAGGGTAACAGCATAACCTCTTAGTCCACCTTACTGGTCCTCGGCTTAGTTTCTCACATTTCTGTCGATGAAGATTAGTGGGGTTCTGGTTTCTAATGTCACCCCAGCACAAATCATCACACTTTTGGAAGATAGCCTGCTATGCACAAGTCGACGTTTTGAGAACCTGCTTCCAGCTTCTAACAACAACTGCCTCTGATTTTGATCGTATGGTCAGTGCTCTTCCAAGTAGATTTTCTCACTAATCCAGGTGAGTTGTGGCGCGCACTAAGCTCTCGAAGATTTTTTGTATTTTATCGGCCGACTTTCTTTGGACTGCTCCAAAAGAAACTGCCCTCGACAGGGCCAATAACTGTTCAGCTTGAGATCGCATTTCACAATCTTCTGAACGGTTTGACGGCCGATGTTGAGGTCAGAGTAATCCGGCTCATGCTGACCCCATCGTTGCGGGTGATCCTTTTCCCGATTATGGTACGAATCCTAGGTGAGCTCACTAACCTCGGTCGTCCAATTTTTGGCATCTCAGAGGCTTGTCCACGGGCCCTGAAAGCAGCAGAAAGGGTTAGAGACGGAATGCAGTCTTTTGCAATGTCACAATTCCTGAACCTTTTCCGAGCAACTGCTCAATGGTAGATCGATGCGCAGAAACTTTCATAGCGATTGTTCAGGTGGACGGTCAATCGAATGACTCAAAAGGCTTCTTGCACGGCTCCCGCGCTTTCTAAAAGTCCAGAAAGATTTTGAAACCTCTTTTCTGGATGCCAGCAATAGCCAAACTACACTTTTCAGCCACCCTGTATATTCTCGAACTTCACGCATGTTGCACGCAGGTATCCTCTTCCATTTCTGGCAGCCATTCCTGAGTCTTGCTTTCTCAGACTCCAAACCGGGACTGCAGGAGTGACAGGTTTTCTTCTCCTTCTTTTAATCAAAGACCATACGAAGGAATGGATTAAGGTCTGGAGAGCAGAATAGTCGTTCCTCCATGCCAATGAAGTCGGGCAGTTGCGTAAGCACCACCACTGACTGAGCTTAGGTCTGTGGGCTAGCGTACCATCCGTCTAGAAGGGTCATAGGCTGTATCAGAGAGCGGAGTGGGATCAGTGCTTTAGTACGCCTATCAGCATACTCTCTGAGCACACGTCTTTGTCGGTTTCAACGCCGGTACCGACTAAATCAATGGCGCCTTACCACTTGCCGTGACTACCTCAGTAAACATCATTTCGCTGTTTTCATAGCAACTCTTTCGTGAGAGATCACATTGTCGATGTTTCAATCCGCAAGACCATCGTTAATTCCTGTGGATCACTTTGTCGGGAAAAATTTTTCTTGTCAGAAAAAACGAAGGAGGTATGCGTGTCCCCACTGTAGTGAGTTAGCAAGCTTTTGCATTTTCTGGCCCTAAACTGCCTGCTGAGGAAGGAATTGGAATGGCAATTCTCGCACGATAGGTATTGCAATGAAGCTTCCGCTTGACAATTCGCCACATCCACAAATTCGTTATTTCTTGCTCAGTTGCCTTCTTTTTTTCTGGATAACCCGGAATCACTACCGACTCGCAAACAAGCTATCTGAATACTTCAACCTTTGAAAACAATAGCCTTGTACTGCTTCCCAGTTTGTCTTCAACTGGTTATGCTTCTATATGTCCTTTAACTGTCTTTAGTATGGTTAATATTGAAATCATGATAAATATTACTCTACCCTTCCTAAAATCTGGGAAGTCTACACGAGTCCAAATGAATATCTTTTTCATCCAATCTCCCTTGAAACATTCAATACGTCGAAATAAAAACTTTAAAACTGGCTTGCGCTAAAATGGACGCATGATTTGCACTTGCTTATCTGCGCGTCTTAAGTGGTTTCTCGGCAATAATGAGAGAAACACTCGCATTCAAATCGAAGCCTGTAATTTATGATTTTGCTGCTTTGAAAACCACACATTTCGGACCCTCACTGACAAATGAGCACGGATAATACGACGCTCAATAATAGTCTTTCTGTTTGCACTTTATTCATCAAACTGCCCCCTAGTCCGTGTGGTTGCGCTACCGTTGCGGATGAGGTCGCCTTCAATCATGGTGAGCTGGACCATAGAATGCCGGAAGGGATTTTTAAGATGAATCCAAAGGTAAGTGGATAATACCTTCTTCGGTGTACGCTTCGAAGATTGAGGCGAACTAAAACTCACTCCACTTTTTCCTGAAGACTCGGCTACATCAGAGGTCTTTTCAATTTGCTCTCGTGGCAGTCCCCCATCTATCACAGCCTCATCAAGAAGGTTATGCCCTTCTTCTGCTCCAGCCTGGAAAATTACTGTGCCGGTAAATAATTTCTGCTTCAAAGCAAGTAACCTAACATATGGTTTTTGTAAGGCTTCAATTATTGCCCGATTCCCTCCATCATCGGCGGTTACATCAGTTGTCTCGGCAACTCTCTTCACTACACGCACAGCCAGTTTATCGAGCTTTGTCATCTGGATATCTATAACAATTCGATTTATTCAGAAAGAAATGAAAAGAGATATTCCTCTAGAACTCGCCCTCTTCCTCTTCACTCTGTTCCAAAAAATCACAATAATTTCGGACAGATCCGTCGCTGGGTAAATATGATGGCAGGTGCTAAATATATTAAATGTTAAAACGTCCTGTTTAAACAAGTTGCAGTGTTGACGACAGATGACCCAATAATTTCACACGCATCGAAATAACAGGACTAGCCTTAACGATCAACAAACCTTCGTTGAATTCCCAACTAAACGTACTTCCTCAACCGTGTCTTCTCTGTCCGTACTCTAAAATTAACAAAGCCACCGTTGTCGATCACGAAAACGTGGATGAATTGAAGGCTAACCAGAAGCAAAAACAATAACTGTACACTTTCATTAACGCTACCTGGTTGATGAAGAGAGAGAATTTGCTGCGCCTTCCCAACGAGATATCGTTAAACAGCTGTTGGTTAGGAACAGTGGAACTTCTTTGCGACCAATTCGAGTAAGACAGAATTAGCGCGAGAGTATGTTAATGGTACTCATTAACAAAAAAGATATAAGATCAACTCTTCGCCTCAGTCCACTCAGTTTTTGTGATGCATCCCCAGCTTCGACTTCCATTCAGAAGTGTAGGCTCAGCGTTGGAATGTGTCTTTGTCCTCTGGAATGAACTGCGGTGGCCATTCGACGCATAAATCAGTGCTTTCATCCCTTCAGACGAGTCAGGTACCCGGCAATCAATCGACACGGAGAAAAAGAAGGCTGGTTAGCCTGGGCGAGGGTCGATCTCCGGGCCATTCGTGATGAGTAGTGCGCCTCTCATCACTACACCACCAAATAACTAACCACCTATTACTACATCAACACCGCTTAACTAATAATACTAGATAATGATCAGAACTGAGCATTAACAACTCGAATTTACTTCGAGAAGAAGCTCAGTGGCCTAACAGGCGAAGGACACTTGGTCGAAGTGGCCACTCAAGACGAGCTGGGTAGTTTAGAACGCTGATCTCAAATTGGTTTCCAAATCTGTAAGACGATTCTGGGAACAAAGTTTCGGAAACGCTTTCCCGTGTTTTATACCACTATACTTGTAAGACCTAAACAAAAGCGAAGCGAACAGCCAACTAACCTGAGCAACGGTGGCGCAAATGGTAGGGCAATGTAGGCGTGCAATGAAGGGTCGAGTCTTTGAAGTCTGTGTTTTTTGCGTGAGGCGTGTGCTAAGCGCTTCCAGAACATTTTTACATTTCATGTCGACTATCTATGATCTTCTTTCACATTCGAGGGACTCGGAGGAGGGGTATCCAAGAAGAATTTTTCTTTGCCACCATCAATCGAATAAATGTGCATTTCTGCTCAAATACTCATGGTGTTGTTGTTGCGGAATTTTGGGTATTTATGTATCGGGCCGCACGGCTAATGCCGGGCTTTCCTTCTCCTCCTTATGGGTTTGCCCGGCCACGCCGGACGCTCCTCCTTCCTGTGAGAAATTTGCTATGCGTAAACAACACTTCGGATTCTACTTTTTCCTTGAAAGCTCTTCACCCTCATATTGGCTTCGAATTGGGAGCGATTTTTTCTATAAGCCATCTTCGCTGTGTCCGAATAGAACACTGCACAAAGGCGATTACTCAGAGAAAAAAGTATTCAGAGACCTCATCGCGGCTGAGTCTATTATGTTAGCTACCATCAATGTTCCCAGCCAACTCCTTGTGCCTCCAAATTTCAACGGTCTGGGTCCGAAATAACAGTATTTATTCACGCCCAACCCTTTGGCGCGGAGTTTAGTCTTGCAACCCTTCATCACTATTCCTATCCTGCCTCCTGTATTATTACCAAGTTTGGCCGCTCTAAGTCCATTTGCATTTCTCTGCAAGAATCGCCCCTTGAAGAAGTGATTTTCCGCTCAAACCCCACCCGTTGCGGGAAGAGTCTAGTCCTGTCACTCACCATAGGTGTTCCCATCCTGCCGCCTGTACTCCTACCAAATTTTAATGCTCTAGGTCCACGGGGTCAGGAGTTGAGTTTTCGCTCAAACCCCGTCCACTGTGGGCGGAGTCCGATCTTGCCATCCACCATGAGTGTTCCCATCCTGCCGCCTGTACTTCTACCAAATTTGCACGCTCTGGGTCCAAGGCTAAGTTTTTCACACAAACCCAGCCCCTTGTGGGCGGAGCCGGTCCGGCCACCCTTCATAGATGTTCCCATGATGCCGCTTGCACATCTACCAAGTTTGAGCGTTTTAGGTCCAAAGGAAAGAAGTTATGACCTTCCGCTCAAACATTTCTTTCGCACAGACCCCGCTCCCTGTGAGCGGAGTCCAGCCCCGCCACCCAACATTAGTGTTCCTGTCCTGCCGCCTGTACTCCGACCAAATTTGAACTCTCTAGGTCGACGGGAACCCGAATTATGAATTTCCGGTCAAACACTCACACGCACCCACACAGACAAACCAACAGACACTTAGCGCGTTATATATATAGTAGGATTTTCAACAGAGAATGGTGAATGACTCATCTGAAAAGGCTTCGAAGAGGTGCGGTAGAAACCGGAATGCGCTGGCATAAGTGGACTAACATCATCAAAAGGCTGCTGTGATACCACGGCTCGTCTCAAAACCCCGAATCCACGTATAGCTTTCCAGTCCACTTTGGAGTCTTCGTTGATAATTTTCAATTTTTCAGTGGGGTTGCTGTCACACAATAAGATTACTACATCGGTTTCTTCGAACGACATCTTCGATTAACTTTCCGTTAATCTAAAGCCTGGATCGATCCGCTCGTTTTGTACGTAGTAGTCACAGCGACATAAGTCATCATAATTTGTCAGAGATAGACCAATTCTAAGTTTATGGCCTCCTCCATCACTTTTACTAAACCTGCGCAGGTGAAATTAGTTTGTGATGAAATAAATTTGTTCTCAATACACAAGAGAGTGCGCTTTATTTTGGCATTCGAACCGACGAAACGCCATGAACTTATCTACCTTCATCATACAATTGAAGTTCAAGACCAAAATCACGGAGCTGGAAGCTACCTTTCACCTATGAAGCTCCCAAATCCCGAAAGGGTACGAGGTTTTCCTCGCGCTTTGATGGGGCCGTTGCCCGGGCCGTTGCCCTTAATATCGTCAGGTGACTAAAGATCATTGTGAACGTATTCACACAGACAAGGTCGAAGTCATAGTCCTCCAACAAATACGATAACACCATCATCGGTACAACATTTCGCTGGTAATATTTTTGAAATGTTGAAGAGCGTTTTGAATCATAAAGGATGTACCCTTTATCCTTTAAGCCTTTGGAGACCATTTAAAGCGAACATTCGAAATTCCTCCTTGCCACAATTGAGCTGTACACTTTTTAGGCTGGTGAAAGAAAAGAACGGTTCATCAAAAGGCACAGTTCACGATAAAAATGGCTCCTGAGTCCTCCTCCTAGGAATAACCAGTGGCCCTCAAGGGTTACAGGGAGGAAGCTGTCGAGTACCAAAACTCAAGAGCTTGGCCATAGTGGGAACCCCGTTACCGAATCGCCCGGACTTCCAGCCCCTCGATCGGTGTCATGTCAGACGATCGAGGTGGTACGGATTGCAATATTCGTTCCAGGACCCACACACAATCAGCTGATCGCCGAGTGACTGGGCGATGTTTTTCTCCCATTCTTTTATTCTCTGCTATTCTTTTTGCTGCTGCGATCCCTTATTCTAATTTCTGTCTCAACAGGCTGAAAAAAGTGGACTATTTCTCCTGTCACTATGGTTTTTTTGTTAACTTATGTTTATGAGTGAATGAATTTCTGCTTACCGTAATGATCTATTCGCACCAGGACCCACACGTACGCAATGACACACATTGTCTAGCTCGTCTAAACGCTCCAATTTTCCTCATTTTTCTGGTCTCATTCTCATTCGTTTTTCTGGTCCAGCCCACTTTTTAACTTCGAAGCCTTATTCACTTTGGAAACACCGATTCACGCAGTCTCTTCGCCTTATCGCACTATTTTCCATTTTATCTTCCATTTTGGTCTGGATTACCCAGGATTATCGTGGACTGGGCCTTTGAGGAGGTGACTCGTTTTGCTATAATGCCTTTGACAAGTACGATTACGTCATTTTCGACCAGAATACACCCTTTGTACCAAACATTTTTTGTTTTTTTCTGGTATCTTCTTCCCGAACTGCGTGTCGCCCTCGTCTGACTTGATCGCGCGCTGTGAAGGGACAGATTTGAATTTCCAGAGGAAGGATACGGCAGTTCGTGCGATCCTACCATCCTGCTCGTCAGATCTTTACCCACTTCTCCGCATGGCACCTGATTAGAAGGGAACCTGTTGAGTTTGTCAAACCAGTTTGGAGTCCCTGAACGCAATACTCAAATGACCGGGAATTAATCCGCCGGAATTAGAAAGGGAGATGTCTGCAACAACTTGCGAGGAGTTGCGAGTATCTGTGCTCATGAGGGATTGTTCAAAACGTGATTGTAGCCTGATGTTGCACATAACGTGAGCAAACTTGTATTCATTCTGCTGTCCCATTTTGTGTGTCTGTTTTTACGTCGTATGTCACGCCACGTGGACCATGCAAGATACATGTTGTGGAATAGGAATTCTACCGATACTGTTTATATCGATTTCCTAATCAATACGGGTTTTTTGTGACGTGATTGACCGGGAATTATTTTTGTCATAATATGGGCCTTACTTCACATGTGCACTGAAATCAGACTGGTTACAAAGGCAATCGTTACTGTAGTTTTTGCTTCTGGGATGCTCGGTGAGAAGAGGGGCCAATCAAACCGCACTAAGTTTTCGCTCCCTTGCAACATTTGCTGAGTCAGCGTTAGGTGAATGCGCAAGCGAGCGAAAAATGAGTTTGGAACGAGACTAACAAGGGAAGAACACTTAGTCGCAGTGATTACTTCAGAAGAGATGTATAAGGTAGTTTTGAACGCTGATCTCGGATCTGCGTTCCAAATCTGCGAAACGATTCGAGGAACGAAATTACGGAACTGTTTTCTTCTTTGTTATGCCCCTGTATTGGACAGTATCAGAACAGGGGAGCGACCGGTGCTGTGCAATGGTGACGCAGTTGGTAGGATGGTGGGTTCATAAGCCTTACGTGAAGGTTCGAGAACTTGATCCATCTCGGATCTGCTACTAACTACTTTTGATTGTCATGAAACGTGTCCAAAACGCTCGCAAAACCTTTTTACGATTCATAGCGACTACCTACGATCCTCCCTCACATTTA